CCAAATAAGATTGAACATGAAATGTTACTGCCTGCTGAGTTTACTGGCTGCACTCATTTGTCTGTCCATCTAACTTGATGAGCCCAGATATGGCAACTTTACCTTTTCATAGTTTTATAGTTAGCCCATTGTGTGCAATAAATAACTCTCAAAACACTTGGCCTTATGGAAGTGGTTACTGTAGTTGGTAGAGTCTCTTGGAAGAAAAATATCTTGGTAAACACAGCATGGGTAGGCAAAGACTTCCAGGGAAATGGGGTGCTTCTCTGTACTTCATTGACTTCACATGAAGATCAATTTTAGCCATTTATAACCAGCACACTTCCACATGGGGAGAAATTATCTAGCCTACCCACAAATGGATTTCTATTTAAAAGTCTCATTTGATTGCTTTGGGAAGGATACACTACAGACTATCTAACCCCTATCCTTCAAGAGTAGAAAATCAACAATCCAGGTAAAGTGTAACTAAAAAAACAAAAGAGAGAGGAATTATATCTGACACTGTCCTCTTCTAACCCAATGCATCTTTGCGGACATTAATGTGCGTTACCTCCAGCATCAATGTGCTATTTTTAACTTAGAATGTTCAATCTTTTCTTAAAGTAAGACATATGATTAGTGTTTGGAGAAATAGATCTTCTCTAGTTTAAAAGGGAAGAGTGGAAATGTTCTAGAAAAGAGAAAAAATTGAGCCTTTCATAAAACACAAAGTTAATCTATGTGCTTCCCAGTCAACATGCCCAAAAGGCTCCCTCTTTCTTTTTTAATTCTTTTCAAACTACACAATTGCTGAGAGTTGGGCCCCTCTTTTCACTGGGCTCTCTGCAATACAGGAGCCCCTGAGGTGTCCTTTGTACCTTTGTACAGGATGGGACCTTCCTGGGTTTGCTATTCTGCAGTTACATGTCACATTATCCTAATTGATACTACTGTTATCTAAAGCCATTAACATGCGACAGGGGTCAAAGAATCACGCAGGTGACTGCTCTGCCCCATGTTAGCAGATATATGACATGTATGGGCATGTATGTGCTTGTGTGTGTATGTGTGTTTAAGGCACAGTAGTGCTTCTAGAAAGTTCAGATCATTAAAGCCTCGTTCTGTGGCTCTCAAACTTGGTTCCACTCCCAAAACACCGCAGTCACTGGGTCCTGCCACTTTAAAAGCCTCCTGGGTTGTTTTGATAATCCAACACATACTCCTTTGGCAGTGAGGCGAGAACAGCATGAACTCCACCTCACATTGGGGTTGAGCACCACTGGTCTAGCAGGGCAGTCAGCATCATATGGGCCAAGGCCACAAAGCATTTTCTGCTCCCAGGCTGTGTCCAGCTCCAGCCCCTTGGCCAACCCTCCTCTGAATTTAGAGGGGCCAATGTTTTCATTTGCTTCTGAGCTTTGATAAGAAGAGAAACAAAGAAAGGACACCACTTCCCTGTAGATCAGATGAGCAGGGCCCCCTGCATTCCAGGCAGACAAGGTGGCCATCTAGGAGGTACAGTCTCTGTGGGGACTAAATGAACCTCCCCCACTGATGCCACGATCTCCTTTACAAAGACAAATCATTTCATTCACCATTAGTGATCCTGTGGGAAATAAAATCCTCCTCTGTCTTAAACACAGACACACTAACATGCAGATGACTGATAATACATAGATCCTTCGTATCAAGTTTTGACTGGGAGAACATTGAGGAATACAAAGACAGCAAGGGCTACCACGGGAAGCACAAGCCTGGAGAAAGCGATAGACGGCAATGCCTGTAAGACTTTGTCTCCTTCACGGTTTAGTTCAGGCAGAGCCTGCAGGCAAAGACATGACCTTCCCAAGGTTTTCCAAAAAAAGAGAAGTGAGACACTTGGAGATTACTTCCAATTTTGTCCCAAATATTTTCTATAAAATTTTAATCAGGTCCCAGACACATTCTTAAAACCCCAATTCCTGTTTATTGCTGAGCAGGGCAATAAATAAATCCATGAATTAAGACCTGGTTTGTATCCCTTATGATCAAAGTTAATTGTTTGTATGTTTTCCACAATGGAGTGGAAAGTAACTTCTTTAACTCCATTAATCCAGGAATAAGTGGCAATGCATTGATTTCTGTGTATCTTTTTAGATACTATGTGTCTTACGCTATCCTCGAAGGGCCCCAGCTCCATAAAGATGTCCTAAAATTTATTTTTGTTCAAGTCATAGCATTTGGCTTAAGAAAATTATTACTTCTCAAAATGGAACTGTATGTCAATCCCCAATGCATTCACTGCCTATCATTCCTTTGATAGTCCTTCTAATATTTCATGTCAGTCCTAGCATATGTGTATAAACAGAAGACATCCATACATAAAGTGGACAATTTTCTATCCCAAGAGTGACCATCATTATTTCATAATTAATATCACTGTGGAGTGTTAGCTGAAGGTCAAGTATAAATCACCAAAGGAAATTAAAGTAGCACAACAATGATGAGTTGCTATTATTTAATTCACATTCAAATGGTTCCATGTCAGCCAGAAGATGGGCTGGGCACCTACACCCTCTCACTGACTGACTTTCGAATAAGATGAATTTTTCAAGTCCAGTAATTTGGTTAATAAGTAGATTTGCTTTCACATATTAAGTGCTTGCTGTGTGGGCCAGTGTACTGATCATATTAGTTATGACACCTACCATAACTAGCGCCTCTGCCTGGCTAAAAGTGACCCACTCTCTGCACTTTGGCCAAGGATAGGGAGAGCAGCCCCTGCATGTGCTGGCCAAGAGTGTCTCAAGAGTTGGCCTGGAGCACTGGACTCTGCCCAAGGAGTCAATAATAATTCTATCACCCAGTCAGATAAGGTCCCTCCAGGATTACCCAAGAGAGTAAGAGAATTGGCCAGTGAGGGAAGAGGAGAGCAGAGAGAAGCCAGGTCCAGCCTGCATAAAACAAAACTCTCCTCTTGCCTTCAGATGGTCTAAAGGTTCCTTCAGCAGCCCAAGGAACCAAAGGACAAGGCCAAGTCTGGATGGAAGACTTCACCTGCATTTTCTCATTAAACACACCCAACAACCTAACATAGTCTTATCATTACCCTCATTTTACAGATAAGCAGCAAAAATTAATGTAAACAAGCTTTGAAAACCTCCTCCACCCCACTCAAATCCCACTTTCGGCTGGGCACCAGACTCCAGTAAAAAGACAGGTTTCACAGGAGTTAATGGGATTGATGGGAACCAGAATTGGTGTAAAAGGGGAGGGAAATGGGAAGGGAAAGACCCTCACGAAGGTTTTTCTTTTCTCCAAAAGTGGGTGCTTTTGAGCCACAGCCACTGAGTTAAGAACAGAAAAGAGATGCTTTGGAGCAGGTGAGGAGGGAGTTCAAACCAGGGAAGGGAGTTGGGAAAGTTTCTGTGCTGGACACCACCCCAGAGCAGAAAATGCCATGTGGCTCAGAGCTGGGACTGCTGGAAGAAATCCTAGATCCCAGGACATTGCAGGAAACCTGGAAAATCTGGTTCTGCATCTTGCCTCCAGGCAAGGAGTCAGCTAACCCAAGAGAAATTGTTAACAACTACCTAGTTTGCCTTGAAGGTTTCCAGAGATGGAAAATTAAAGCAACCTTAGCTGCCTGTTTTAATTCTGTGTCCTTCTCATTGCCAAGAGGCTCTCCTAATGTCCTGCTCAAATGTCTCCAGCACTCCCTGAAGGCTGTTTGTGCCTCTTCAGTACTCCTTAGACACAGAGAGCTTCTGCTCAGCATCCTCCTCATTTAAGAAAATTTCATCAATCTGAAAATAGCCATTAAGCTGCCTGTTGGCATTTTCTTCTCTAAACTAAGGCAATTCATACCAAGGCTGCACAGCCATTCCAGGGGAGGTTAAAGAGAGAATTATAGTACGATAAGTAGGCTGGACAAGATATCTTACAAATCAGAAATCATTTGATTCAATTCCTTTCATCTTTTGTGTAAAGTTTTCCATTACTTTGCTCATTTTTGTCACAATATCTGTCATCTGTTGGACTTCTCCATATTCTTTTAATATTTTTAAATCTAACATGCATAGGAATAGTTTTTCATAATATAAAACAAAGGCTCATTAATTCAGACTAAGTTGGAAAAGTCATGTGCCACTGAGTAAGAAATCAGAGTGAAAAGCATTTTCAATTAAACAAATTATGTCTATTACAAAAGACTACATAATGGTTATTCAAGAAATAAAATGAGAAAGCTAGTGAAAATAGTGAGTTACAGTAACTTTATTTTCATGGCAATTTATACTTTTCAAAGTGTTTTTACCTATATGATTTCATATTGCCAATTTCATTCAATATATAATTGCAATGTATAGGTAATAGATCATGAAACCTAAATCAAAAAGTCTTCATTTATCCTGCTAAATTTTAACTTTTAACTCAATAAGAATTATATATAATTATTCCAAGTCTATATCAGAGCAGTCTGAATTAATGAGGTTCTGCTCTATTGTAGTTACAATAAGCCTGACAATTTTATGGCCATCTTATCTCCTAGAGTGTCACTTTCATCTACACATTAGTAATAAATACTGTTGCTTTACAAAGGAACTTTGTCATAACAGAGCATCCCACCTTAAAGAAGTTTCATGAAGTATCTTATAGTTCAAATATCATAGAGATGTTTTGTATGATAAATGTGTTAAGAGCTCATTATGCTCTTTTAAAATGCTTGCTTTGATTTAAAGTAAGTCTAATAAGGAGATTATCCCAAGATGGCGAGGACCCAATATGTCACAGAACTTATCACCTCTCTCTCTGGGGTTAAAAAAAAAGCAGTCAAAATTAATCCAATTGATTGTCAATAATAGAACTAAACCAACTCATGTAGAAACCCACACTCAGAACGCCCTATTTGAGGAACCTGGTGACACTGAGAGGGTCTATGAGCACTTTCCCCATCTTCGCTTTCTTCTTAAACCTGCAGTTGGACTCACAATGATTCACTGTCCTTTTGCAATGGTCAGAAAGACAATGCTTTTACTTACCTTAAAAAGTCTTAAAATGTTAGCAACCATGATGGACACAGAGCTTGCTGCAGCACCTATGACGCCAGAAATCTTGTCGGGCTTGGTGAAAATGGGTGGATCTCCATTAGCACACTTCACATCAGAAGCATCTTTCTCTATTAAAGCCTGCACAAACGTTAGGGACTGCTCCAAAGCATAGGTGTCCCTGGAGCACGTGTCGAGGATCCGTACACCCAGGGTGATGTTGGAAAGGAGATCAGGGTCCTTGTTAATCTGGTCGATTGCATAAAGCATGGCCTCAAGTCTGTGGATCCCCTTTTCCTTCTTCAGCTCCCCACAAGGCACCCCTCTCTCGCCCTTTGCATGGACAGGGAAGAGACCCCCCAAAATGATGTCTCCATCCACCCGTATGGAATGGGCGTACTCTTGGCTGTGAGTTCTTTGCATCATTGTGAGGATCCAGTAGAACTTGGCAGTCAAGAGGAAAAAACAAGAGCAAGAGGCTGACCTCTTTCCCTCACATACCATTTTCTCCACGGGTGGTGTTACAATCCAAGACCCGAAGTTTATTCTTGCCACAGAAGAAGGGGGACCACCTGTGGCTGCACCTTCTGGAGGCTACCATCAGGGCCCATGGGGGAAAGGCTCTGTGGGCATCAGCAAGTTTTCTTGATTTAAACGTCACAGTGAATTTCCATCAGACCCCTAAGGTTCAATTTTGTTTCCTTATCAAGTCGACTCGCCTGGAATGGTGCAAAAATTAGAATAACATCTGAGGTTCCAATGTTGGGATGAGGTCAACAATTCACGTTCTTGAAGTCAGCCTTGTAGCAGAATTATTCCTGAGGGGCAGGAGGAGGGGAAAAAAGGAGGGTTCAGTTCAGTGGGTCTACATTTTTCACATTTTTAAGCCCTGTTTACACCAAGCTCTTTAAAAAAAAAAATTCTCCTATTCAGTAAGAAAGTAATTCTTTTTGTCCCCCAGTGATTCTGAACACCTGGCTGCACTGCATCTAAACAGGGAGATTGATGACACTTTTGGAGTGAGGGAAACAGAAAAGTATCAGAAATTAGGTTGATTCTCCCAAGCCAGAAAGTATTTTTATTTATCATTTTATTTCAATAAATCCTATTTCCATGAAGGTAAAAATCCTGTGAATGGATGGCATTATTTCTTTTCAAATCTGTTGTTATTTTTTATGGCCATCTGAATTTAGCACTTAAATTTTATCAACAAAATCATAATGAAAGGTTATTTTCTGTGATGTATTCAACAAGCCAGTCATCTGTTAATGACATTTTTTGGTGCCTCAGATTTCCCAGTGGGAAAAAGTGATTATTCAATTACAAAAAAAAAGAAAGAAAGAAATCCACCTAAAGAACTCAAAAATGTGTAAGTTTTGTAGCTTATGAAAAAATTTAACACAGAATGTCAGCTATTTCATATGAATTATCTTATTTCTCTCTGGTAACAAAACAAAGACTTGAAAATTAAACATGTAGGGAGGGTTATGTGTGAAGATATTCCTATCACCACAGTCAGGGTTTCCAATTAATTTGTCAGGGTGGAAGCAATGGGTATGCTTACAGTTCTGAAGTAAACAGGCCTTGATCCCAGACTCACCAGAAGCAAATCAGAGCTGGCGATCAATTGAAGAGCTTCTTAATTTTGTCTGACTCAGTGGGGAAAACAGCTATTTCATCAAGACTAGAAATAACCTGGAGTGAAAAAGTCTACAGGCAAATCTATAGAAAAAGTTTTTTCTAGGGCCTTCATCCTCAAAGAATTCCATAAGATTCTGTCAAAGGACTTTCGAAGATGTTTAACTAAAAATGAAAACTGACTTAACATAGGGAATCTGAGATTTGAAATGCACATATAATTAAGAAAATTAATTAACACACAATTTACTTTGGCAGGATGGTTAATCTAATGCTCACTTCTAAACTATTTATATATGAGTTTGAAACCTGAAATTTGAACAATTCTCCTCTCCCCTAGCCAACTAACATCTGGTTGTATTTTCCATTCACTTGTTCACGTTCCAATTCATAAAATTTTCTTTCTGCCCTCCTTGTCCCAAAAGAAAGAATGGGGCCTCCCTAGGGAACAACTGAACATATGCCCACACACCTTTAGAGAAAGCTGCACTTTTTTCACTTTCAGATTAGAAAAGGGAGCACATAGTAGTCCAATGCCCCATTTGTCTGATTGTACAGCTGGAGGCCTGGCCAACCAACAGCCCACACTGCTGATAGAGTTCTATGCTGCCTGTGACAAGTATTCCCTGCTCCTAGCACACGCTAAGCCTTGGATTTCCTCTATGCTGCCCCAAAATACTTAGTCCTTTCCTGATTTTTCTCACCACTTAACTGAAAGTACCCTCACACTCAATTCTCCTGACAGCTGCTTCTCCCTCAGAAAATCTGTGATTCAACAACAGCCTGATCTCAAACATTCCACAAAAGGAAATATTTAGAAAGTCAACTTGACTTTTTGGATGAAGCCATTTAAGTGATAGACCATAAATTATACTGATGGCCCATCAAGGATAGGATTATGTTTTACAATTTCACAAGGAAAACCAGTCACATGATAGTTAAACCTCTTTAACTCCAATCACTAGTTGAGAATTTGAGACTAAGTCCACATGGCTGGGTTGACCCTTACTCTGACAAAGCACAGAATGAATAGATAAATAAGGAGAACAAGAAACGTTTAACGGGGGAACGAATGCAACCTGTTGTTCTCCAAAGACCAACCTTTCTTTATTACACCAAGCTACCTCCCAGGTACTTAAAATACTTAAGAGAATAAATGGTCTTCAATTATAGACAAATATATAAACAGTCCATCTTTTAATCACAAAGCATCCTTACCTATCTATTCATGTGGCATTAACCTAGTTCCATGTGTTGTAGAGTTCTGAAAGTAATAAAATTGAGTTGCCTTTGAAATAACTGGTGTTTGCAATAATGTTTAGTCTCTGATATCTCACAGGTCTGTTTGGAGCTCTAATTTAAGGAAAGGTTTGGGGAGGAATAGCAGTGAGGCAGGAATCAGTTTTGCTTAATGGATGAATGCACTGAAATGGAAAACGAGAGGCTCAGTTTTGGTTTTATTTCAGTTTCATTTATTGAACACTGAACAGCTCACATGAATTTTTGCTTGAGTTTCCTCCTCTGCAACATAGAATTAACTGCATGTAACCTCTCTGAAGGTTGATTTTTCTTGTCTGTAAAGGGGTGATAGAACCTGTCACAATAGCATATGTGGAAAGCACAGTATCTGGTATAGGGTGAATGCTCAGTAGACAGGAGCTATTGTTGCTGACCTACTCTGTAATTCATTTTCTACTAAAGCAGAGCAACGTTGTCTGTATTTGCCCAGTTGGTGAGATTTTTACTGAATTTTGTTTGTCACTTTAAAAATAAAATCAGAGCTACTTATAAAATATTTAAATATTGCAGTTATTTCTAAATCTGATACATTGTCATAAAAATCACAGACTCTTGATGGCTAGAAGGTTTAGTTTCCCTTTTAAATTCTAAGAAAAATATATCTGAAAGTTTGTGAAAAACTACAAAAACTACATCAATTAGGTTTCATTGTGTAATCTTAAGTTGCCTAATCTTGTTCTTATACAATTCTTGTGAGCTCTGATCCAAACTCATCCTAGTTTGAATCACTAGGTTTTAAAGAAATTGTAGTCTTTTTGTGCTATAGATACAAATACCTCTACTTTGTGTTCTGTCTTTAATTTAAAGTGTAACAGCTTTTCTCTAAAACTGACCTTCCTTTTGGGTTTGGTAGAAACCTTCCTTGTGCTGATGGACTTCTGCAAGGTGTGAGGCCTGCAATCCAGAAACCAACTTCCCAGGGAAGCAGACATCCTGGACTATGTCTGAGCCCTGCGGCAGGGAGGGGAGGTGGGGGGCATGCAACTTTGTGGGGAAGCTTACCATGAACCTCAGACCCCTTCCTGTACACTCTCTCCCAGCCCATCCCGAGCACACCATACATCATATATCATTAGCCTTTCCGTTGGCAGTCTCAAAGACCTGGGGCTCTTGGGAGCAGGCCCTCTGGCTGGAACTTGAGTCTGTGGATCCCTAATAGTGCTCTGGCTGTTTCCTGAAAGGCCAGTAGTAAGAACACCTCCTCATGGGCCAGAGCCTAGAATTCTGCTTCTTTTTATTTCTACCTGCCTTCTCTGTACCAAAGTCTCAAGTACCTAACTTAGCATCTCCATGAATTTTCATATACCAATCATTAGCTCTTATGTAAATAAGAAAAGAAGACTCTGAGGGGTCGAGTATGGCCCCAAACCCTGAGCTAGTGAGTGGCAGTGCTGCCAAGTCCTCAGGTCCCCAGAGTGGGTCCTGCCCTTGGAGAAAGCCCCAATGCTGCAAGGGCTTGCTGTGGCCACACCAGTGAAGGGGAGGGCCCTGTTCCTCCACTGAAATCTTCCAGAAATCTGTACACCTTCAATGGTTAGTTCTCAAAGCACAATAATGTACTGATTAAGAAGGGACAATCTTGGGGCATTTTTGAGAGGGTGATTTCTGAATCTCTCAGGGGGCTGAGCATACTCACTGCAGTTCATCCAAACACCTGTGCTTCAAATCAGGTTTCCTAATGCAGTGGGAACACACCCACCAAAACACGTAGGGTCTATCAAGGGCCTACTGTCATGTCTTCCTCTGGCACTTAGCAAGTGAAATTAAGATATGATATGGTTAAATCCTCGCTGAGGAATATCATTAGTCAAGAATTGTAATTTTTTTCTCATAAAAAGGCCAAAGCAGTATTCCTATGATGCATTCCATTCAGCTCCTTAACAAAAAGGTTAAGCTGCATATTGTCATCAATTCACAAAACTGCCCACACTTGCAACTCTTTTTGTTGTTTTTGAAAATGCATCCTATTTCTGTATCATCTCCATTGCTGCAACATGTGTGCATGGCCACGGATTCTTGGTGGGGCAAAGTGGGGATGGGACACAGAGTTCTCCCTTGACAACAGAGGCCTGTAATTGGACCCTTGTCTAACAATCACTGGCTGGTGACACTGAACATGTCCCTTCACATCTGTGTGCTTCCATTTCCTCATCTATGAAATGAGTGAGATAGACCATCCGATCTCTAAGGTATCTTCCAGTTTTTCATTCTGAGATTCTATTATTTAATAATAAGAGAATATCAGATATGCTCAAACATCAGAGCAAGGCTTTGTCAACTAAACATAGTAACTGATTTTGTTTGCAAGCTGAGTGACTTTTTTACCATTAGTGAGAGAAGGTTACGAAAGCTCTTCGACGTAAGAAAGTCCCATATTAAGAAAATCCAATACAGAAGAAGCTGAACTTACTAAACAGACAACTATGAAAGTGATTATTTGCATTACAGAAGAATTCGCCACAGGTTTCCTTTACATAGCTAAATCCCATGCATTTAAAAAACAATCTGATTTGGCAGAATTCAATTTGCAACCTTATTTTTCCAATAACACAGCTATTACATAAAAGACCATATTTAAAGTAATGAGAAGCCACTTTTACAGTACATATCAGAAAATAAGAGGGAAAAGAGGTGACACTAGCACTTACTGAATGCCTACAGTGTGCCTCGAGTTTCACACACATTATTTCATTTCCTTCTTAAAATACACCTATGAGGTTGGTATCACAGCCCCCATTTGGGATATGAGGAACATGAAAATGGAAAAATATATGACTGTGTCTAAAGTCTCAGGCCAGGATTAACATGCAGGACTACTTTTAGATTCTTTCCCTGGGTGCAGGAGACCATGGTGGATATCGAGCTAACCCTGATGTGACAATGTGAACTGTGAGTGGGACATCCTGGGGTCCTAGGAGATCCTGGTTCTAGTCTCATTCCCCCAGTACTTACTGTATGGCATTGGACAAGTCACTTCACCTGGTCTCAGTTTCTTTGTTCCTAAAATGAAAAATGATTTCTACCTTCCTCTATGTTGTGAAATCAAATGATTATAATGTATATAAAAGTACTTGATAAATTGCCAAGTGCTGTAAGAATGTACAGGAAATACTGTTAGTTTAATAATCAGTCCTAAAACTAAAATATTTCACTGGAGTATTATATTTGGAAAATCTAAGAAAACCACTTTCCCATCACCCTCAGAGCTAGTCAGACCTTAACAATAGTCATATGTCCAAGGAATCAACCCTAAAGAGCCCACATTGAGAGCACAGAGCTTGAAGAAAAATTGGAAAGAAGGACGCAACAGGAAAAAGCAATGGAAGTACAATGTCTGACCTGGAGAAATGAAGGTCATGGACACTTGGAGCCTCCAAAGGGTTATTCTGAAGGAAGTGGTGAAAAAGATATTCTTCTGCAGCGAAAATAGGACAATAGGAAATCTTCCCAAGTTGTAAGTGGCTTCTGCCACTGTGCAAGTCAGCCAATATACAGCCAGCAGATTTCTAGCTATAGGCACAACCCTTCCCAGAAAAGTAGGAAACTGGCAACACATGTGCTCAACAACCACCACGTACTCCTCTTGGGCCTTTCTTAGATCTTCCTGCTTTTGATCACTTGCTGCCCAGCCCTACCCTTCCCTCTCCTCCCCAGAGCTGGGTCTCCTCCCTACATCAGGGCTGATGCAGATGTTTCCTACCAGGTCACAACCTCAAGACCTTGTTCTCTCACTACTTTGGCCCTCCCCAGGGAGTGAGTGGATTCATTAGCAGGTATCAAAACCTAAAGATGCATTACTGTCATTCCCCAACTGGAACATCTGCATTTTCAGGATGATTCCTAGGAGAGCTATGATTTCTTTACCAAAGAAATATCACCATTAATAGTGTTTAAGACTGGTGATACAACATGCCACAGTAGAGAGCCATGAGTCAGGAGCCTCTCAATGGTGACACTCAGGTCACTCCAACAGTAATGCCCACCACTTACAAAGCACATCCTGGGATGAGAGAACATTATGCTCAAGGTCCTTCCCAGTCAGTGGGTGAGTTCGTCACAACTAGTCAAAGCACCAAGCAGAAAATGAAAATCAAAGAAAACGTCTCTCGGAGAAAAAAACAGAGGAGGAAGAAAGAAAGGAAAGGAGGAAAGGACAGAAGGAAAAAGGGAGAGAAAGAAAGCCCAAGCCTAAATTGCAACTCCTACCAGAGCAAACCCCCTCTTGAAATGGAAACAATATGATCTGGCTGGCTCTCTGCTCACAGTTTCTCCTGGAACAACATGAAGTGACGATCCTGACTAAGCAAATCACATATGTGAGTCTGGTGATGCCTAACCAGGGTCTAACAAGAAACTAACGAGTTTCTGGAACCTTTGCAAGCCAGGGTACTCCACAGGAGATGTGGCCAGGTCTTTGCTGTGGGTCCAGGAAGAGATAAATCTGTGCAGCATCTTCTTTTAAGACACTGGGACAGAGCAACTCAATTCTCTGGACTAAAGCAAGGTCTTCTTTATGTTAGGTATTCTTCCACCCAAGGAAGATGGCAGGAAAGAAACTTGGAAGGAAAAACTTCATTGCTATCACCAGCATGTGAGTAGTGTTCTGTGCCTCATGCCCTGAAGACAATGGAACATTCTTACACAAAGATTGGCACGCAATTGCCAATGTGAATGTCAGCTGGGTTATTTGCTGCATAAATACCAATTAAACAAGCCCTACAGCAGCTCCAACCTACCCAGCCAGCTTTGAAAAGAGCATATCTCTCCAGACCTCTAACTTTCTCCTGCACTCATTGGAGCTCAGCTATTCCTTTTTCTATTTCTTTTGGATTTAGATGTTTTTAGAATTATTCAAGCAGCCATAACTTGCAAAGGGACCATAATAGGGCAGAACTAGCTAGCAGAAACTAAATAGAACAAATTGAGCCTAAATAACAGTATAGAGCGGTGTTATCATCTTTTTCTTTATTCTGGGTAAATCATCTCTTACAGAGCCTCCCCTCACCTATTTCTCCCCACATCCCTTATTTAAAAGCAAAAATTATCTGTCTTTATCTTAGACATGGTACAACCTGTAGTTGACTCTAAAATAGGAAAACCAAATTTTAAAAAATCTTGGTTCATTTTCCCTGATGGATAAGGCTTTTCTTTTCAAAATTATCAAACCACATATTTTCAAGAACCAGAGAATGAATTTCACGCTGCTGGTTCTGTCTCCTATAGAGAGCTTTCACGATACTATTCACAAGCAAGTGACCAAGGTAAACTAAAGTGGTTTCTGTAGCCATTTGCAATTATTGACAAACAATTTCATAAAGGAAAATGGAAATTACAGGCAAGTGCAATAAGCTGTTTATCCAAGATCTACCTGCTGGTGGCTCTTATTCTATTTTTCTTTCAAGCAAAATACAAGCTATCATTGGAATGCATATCTCCCATTCATGATTTTTCTTGTAAGTATGTCCACCACCGACCCGGTTTTCTAGTTCTGTCAGTTGGCAGGATTTGTATTCAACAGCGGTAGTGGCCGAGACCGTAGTGGTTCTTGGGTGTTCGCGAGATTCCCACACCGTCAGGTCTGTGGGAAAGGATCACTCCCCAAATGGCAAACAGGCATTCCCTCCCGGGGCGGGACTTTCTTGGAAAACTGACGGGTTTGGGGGTTCTGCAACCGGCTATTGGGTCTATTTTCACCCCTGCCATCCTGAGCGCGCAGACACCCTCTGACCCCAGGCTTCACAATTTGGGCCAAGGGGGAACCAATCCCTCAGGGAAGCACGGGGGTGCCGCTTTGCGCAACTGGGTGACTCTCACGCCCCTCCGCATTTCACACGCACCAAGGGAGTGTGTCAGACAGACGGGATTTTTTTGTTGTTGATGTTGGTGTTGTGCGTGGGGGGGGGGGATTCTGTCATATTATCACCAACTATACGAACCTCAAGGGATCTCCCAGTTCTTTGACTGAACAGATGGGCTCACGCTTGGTGAGGCTCAGAGGTCTCTAACTCTGTCTCTATCTCTATCATCTCTGTCCCTTTCTCTCTATCTCTCCCTCAGACAGCAGGCACTCACCCCGCCCCTGGTCCTCACTTCCCCACTGCATCTTCCTTTTTCTTCTCAGTTCCTTGGGCTGTTGAAGCCGGGCTCTGGGCACACCCGGGGCCGCAGGGGCAGTACGTGGTTCCTCGTGCCTTTCCCGGGTCCCCTGGCGCTCCGGGGATTCAGCCTCCGCGCGCCGCCAGGCCACGAGCGCCCCCGCCCCCGGCGCACCTGCCGCCCGAGCGCCCGCGCCCGCAACTGGGGCCACGCTGGCCGCGGGAGCCGCTTTAGAGCTGTCGGGGCGCATTTGCCTCTGCTTTTCAAACAAGATCCCCGAGACCTTTCCTCCTCCCCCGCAACCCCAACAAGACAGGGAACTCCGGCGTTTTCCAGAGAGCCACAAAGAGGAGGGGGGCGCGGAAATCCCAACCTCGCCGGGCTAACTCAGAGAACACAAACTCGAGGCAGTAGTGCGCCGTGCGGAGATGCGGGTATCCAGGACCCCGAAACCGCCCGGCTTCCCCCGCGACCCGCATCTTCCCTAGATCCTGGTTAGACATCCATCCAGCCCACGCTCAGGCGGGCGGGGGTTACCCCAACTCATGCCGGAAGCCGCCAACTTCGGAAATCCCTCCCGTTACATTTGCAAAACCAGGGTACCTCGTCATCTCGGCGGGGCAAGTCCGGATTCCGCCAGGGCAGGTCCAGGAGGTCACCAGGGGCAGGCAAGCCGACGCAGAGCGCTTTAAAATCCTGCCTCTTCACGCCCCATCCGAGCATCCTGGGCGCGCCTGCCCCCTTCCCATCACCCTTCAGTCTCCCATTCGCCGACTAAACTTTTGGGGGATCACATCTCCAAGCCTTGCGAGTTCCAAGCGAAGCCTCCCTCTTTTCTGACCCTCTTCACTGGAATGTAATCACGGGCAGGCAAGAGGGGTGGCTGCCTTGTTCTTTGCAACGTAAAATCAACAGACACCCAATCAAGCTCCAATGCCCGGCCAGCCCCTCGCCCCCTGGCGCCCACTCTCCCTCTTTCCCCCGTTCCCGTCACCTCCGCCTGCCAGTTCTCTCCCAGACTCCGGGTGTGCAAGGCCGTCTACTTGTGCCCTGGAAAAGCAAATCACTAAAGTGATCTGAGAAGGAACGGTGCACCTGGCTGTCCGATGAACGGTGTTAGGGAAGAAATTGGAAAGGGGAATAAAATAGGGGGATTCTCCTTTTTCAGCAAGCACGGCGTTTGGAGGGAGTTTGGGGGCTGGGGGTTTTTTATCCCGTGATTCAACACTTGCTTTCCTCTTCTTTTTCTGCTGCGCGGCGGCGAGTCTTACCCTGCTCCCCGCAGAGGGCGCGGTGAGGAAACCCGCGGGGGGCCCGCAGCTCCATGTCAGCGCCGCCGCCGCCGCCGCCGCCGCCGGGTGAGGCGAGCACCGCGGCCGCACTTGTGGCTGGTCTCGGAGCTGAGGGGGCTGAGCTGGCCGAGCCGGCGCCAAGTCTCTTCCATGTGAATAACAAATACTCCCACCGGCGGCCGCGATTGGTCTGCGCCCGGCGCCTCCCGATCCTCCGCCCGCGGCCATTCACCCCGCGCGGCGCGAGGAGCAGCGGCCGGGATCGCGCTCGGGATCGCCAATCGCTTCGCGCCAACCAGTCACCTCGGGAAGCGGGCGGAGGACCCCCGAAGGGCGGGAGGCCCTGGATTTCGGTGTCACCGAGCTGCCCCGGCGCGGGCAGGGAGAGGGACACGCGGGCGGCGGATCCCCCTCGGTGCTTCAGCCCGAAGCGATGAGGAGACCAGAAATGTCAATAGTTCTGATTTTTAAAAATCACCCCCACCCGCCCCGCCCCCAACAGAAAAGGGAGGACCCAACGACTGAGGGGAGAAGGGCAGGGAGGGTGGGAAGAAGCGGGAGCGGGTAGGAGGAATATGGCTGTGTAGGAGCCGAGTGGCTCCGACTGCCTGGCGAGCCCGGGACCGGCGCGGGAAAGCGCCGCACGACGCGACCTGGGCACGGCAGCCAGCACCCGCGAGCCTGGGGCCCTCCTTATGAGCACAGCTCCGAAAAGAGTCGCCGTGAAGAACACATGGTAGATGACAAGTGTCCCACCACACGCTATCTTTTCGGAGATTCTCAAAGTAGAGCACGCAAGCCGCGCGGGTCCCCTGCAAAGTTTGCCTCACGCCGCGCCGTGGTTCCGCCATTTGTCCTGCCCCGCGGCGCAGACCACTGTCTCCCCCGCTCACCCGCGCCGAGGGTATGGGGGGTGGTGCCTTCTCCGGAGCCCCCGGAGCTCAAGGTTGCACACAATACGGTCCCACTGCGCAGCAGGGGGCGCAGCTGGTCACGGTGACAGTCATTTTATTGAGATAATTCAAGGAGCCGCAGACGCTAGGCGGGAACCTCCTGAGGAGCAGCGCCGCGTGGCTCCTCGGTTTCTGTGAGGAAACCTCGGGATTCCCTTCGCACCCAGCTGATAGAAACGTGTACAGTCCAGCGCCCTCTCCACTAGTTACCGCCCAGGCACCAGCACCCCGCACCCGCCCGGGAGAGAGAAAGAGGGAGCCCCCGCGCAGCCCCGCGCCCCGAGCTGCTGCCGGGCTGGCCGTGTGTTGGTGAGAAAGTTCCATCTAGAGGCAGCCGCGCGCAACTGCAGGCGGCGTCCCCCGGCCGGAGTGAGCCAAGAAGAGATCGACACTGCCGGAGAGGGGCGGCTCCGGGATATAAGAATGGAAAAGGAAAGGATAGACCCCGAAAAAAGGGTCCCCTTCCCCCAAGCGGCATCTCTACAACAAATTTCAAGTTCCTAAGCATCGTGAACTTCATAAGCATCATGACAGGTATCTTGCGTTAATTCTGTATATATTACTTATTCTGCTAAGGTTTCTTTAATGTTCATATCAAACTCTGTGAGATGATCAAAATTGTTAAACCTACCCTACAGATGAAGGAGGAAACCAAGGCCTGGAGGCACGGCTGGAAAGTACTAGAGCCGGAAATCAGAGCTGTTTGGCTTCAAAACCCCATGCACATTCCTCCCCGAGGTTGTCGGCTTTTCCCAAGGCTGGCATTCGTGTGTGAAGTTTCCGTTGAGGAGACAGCTGTCTCATTACTGGTTTCATAAAGCTACCCTTGACCTTTGTCACTTAGAAAAATCTACAGGTTTCTAGCCCAGGGGACCTCTTCCCCTTTCATTCGCTTTCCTTCCCATTTCCTGCCTTTCCCTCCGCATTGAGAGGCTCTTTGGTTGTAAAATCATTCTTTTATGGCCACAACCACCTGGAGAGAGAAAGGAGGACTCAGAGAGATAAAATGGGCTGGGTCGTCTGTCCACAAACTTTTCTGCATAGGGAACCTCAATTCACTGTGAATGTACCATGCAGCCCTGAAAGGGGTGACCAATGACCAGTACAGCCTGGGACAGGCCAGGTAGAAAGAGGAAGAACCTCTGATTGATGCAGAGATGGGGCTGAGTGGTCTCACTGTTTCCATGTCTGTGTATGAAGCTTAGGAGACATTCTTAGGGACTGGAAGAGCTTCCTGCTCCCCCAGAAATGTAAAGTAAGCTCAGTGGCTTGGTTCATTTAGCAGGCAGCCACCCCACCCCAAACTCCAGACTGGTGACATCTGTCTGAGCAGAGTTATCATGGGTAACACAAAGATGTGAATAAATCCCTCTCTAGACCCTTTACTGTGTGTGCATCAGTACATTTGGGGGATAAAAAGAGACATGAAGGAGGGGACAGGCAGAGTAAGCCTGCAAATACCCTGAGCACACAGAATCTGCTGACCATACATGGTCTTCAAGACCTGCTAGAGCCCAGCTGTGGGCCCATAGGGTTGCACCTGGCCTGAGCCAAGAGGGCAGTACCCTGGTGCTCTGGTGGGCCCGTTTCCATAATGAGGACAACACAGCTGACTGTGGCTTTGGAGGCCTGACAAGGCTGAGAGAGGTGCTCAGGAGAGAAATGCCCTTTCCTTATTGATCATTACATGCAGAGAACTGGTGTCTTACAAGAACATTGCTGCCCTTTTTGGTGCAGTTCTCTGACAGATAAGTAACTTACACTCAGGCAAAGTATAATTCTGATGCTTGGTTTTGCATCATGTTTAACTCTTGATACACAGAATGGGACCATCACTCAAATCCTACATAGAATCTGGTCAATAGGGAATGAGCTCTTCTATATATTCTTCAGTGTTTCCAATGACTTTATCTCGTAGCCCCTGAGCAAGTACCATAGGCTCATGTACAGGTTATAATCCACCCAGACTGATAGCAAAACTGGGGCACAGGAAGAGAGATTGTCTCCAAGAGTGATCGGTCCCTGTCAGTAATGTTCACGTGAATAAGACATCAGCTATACACCCCTATTTATCAAGCCCAAATACCATGACTCTGCTTGCTCTTTGCTGCAATCTGAGTCAGGGAAAAGTGTCTGAAGCACAGACATTTCAGACAAGCAGTTGATTCCAGAGTCATCCACCTCACTTCCTCTTGGGCTCCCACCTTCTAGAAACTTGAATGTGTCTTTAGAAAGTGTCTGACCTCATCATCCATCCCACCCCAAATATTTATGCAAGCCAAATATGTTTCCTGGTAGTTAATCCTCCAAGAAGATTTGCCTATAATCTTCTCATTTTCAGTTGATTTAAAATGTGAGAAACTGCCCATGTGTTAGAAAATGCAAAAAACAATGCCATATGTTTGGGGTCCATTTAACTCAAGCTGTAATATATACTCCACACATGGAGATTTATGTCACAATTCCTGCTTCGGGGTAATTATTAAGGCTGGGAACTTTTTTCAGGCTACTCGCCCAGGAGAAATATTGACAGCATGAAGCTCCCACATGGAACAAAGCTGACAGGGAAAAGTGGAAATGGGATTTGTTTCTTTTTGAAACTAAGACAATATTTTTCTTTCTAGACCATCTGCATGTGGCAGGGTGTGTACCATGTGGGATTTGCTCAGCTTATTAAGACACTGGCTGCTGGGAGCAAGATCGGACATGATTGACTGACAATCAGATAGGGCCAATGAGGTTCATGACAGCAGTGTGCTCCATGATCCCACGGTCAACTCACACCTGCATACAAGAGCCATGGGAAAGATTCCCTGAGAATCTATCATGTACAATGTATGTGCATCTCTACTGGCTTCATTTGGGTTCCCCCAGAAGCACAACCTGAGACAAGGATTCAAGGGCAGATGAAGGAAACCCCAGGAGTCAAGTAGGAAAGTGAGCCAATAAAGGGCATATTATCAAGCTAGGTACCACTGTGGGCAACTAAAACTTAATCTCAGTGGGGAACTCTAGAAGCCAGTATAGAACACACACCAGAGAATTGTCTCACCCAAGGAGTGAGGGAGCTGGGGTATCTATACACCAACACCTATCAGTTGTTGGTTAGGAACTGCTCCCACATGATGTTAAATTCTCCAGCAATTCCAGCCTATCACATGGGTGGCAAAGCAGCCTCCAGAAGCCATGTAAAGACCACTGGCAAATAAATGCAGGTGCTGACAGTTAATAGGCAGGTGGTATGTAATCAAGTGGCAAGGGCGAGAAAATCTGGGTAGGTCATAACGAGCATCTACAACACCTGCTCTTAGGCAAACCTCATAAAACATATACTAATCAAGATAATGCCTCTTCACGTGTGATCCAAGGGCCACCTGCCTCAGACTCACTGGGGTGCTGGTTATAAGCACAGATTCCTGGGCCCTACACCAAAACTGTTTGAATCAGACTCCCTGGGATGGAGCCTGGGAATCTGCATGTTTTGCAAACATTCCAGGAGATTCTGATGCTGTTCAATAAAATTTGAAATCTACTTCATTCAGGAAATTGTTCACTCACAGGCTGCCAACAGGCAGCCCATTTAAATACGTAAAAACTTGCTTGCAAACTGAGGAGGCAGACCCTGGAAATTAGGAGCCCAGGGAGGGGATGCCAATGCTGCTAAGATCTGTTTGTGGCCACAAAAGCTCCTTTTCCTCTCTTTTATACCACTCTCCCTTTAGATAGAGCTTAAAATTGAGATTCTATCCAGTCAGTATTTTCTAGGGGAAAAAAAGAGGCTGAGTTCCGGCCCTAACTTTGACTTTAACAAGTCTTATCATTTTGAACTTTTAACATTTCTGCACTGTAATTCCTTATCTATAATGTGTGTGTGGCAAAGACAGACACCTGTCCAACCAAGATTCACGTTCTGCTTCCAAAGTGTAGAGTTGTTGCTGGAAAGGGGCTGCTCCCCACAACACACACACACATTCAGGGACTACATTTCCCTCCCCTCCCTTGCTTCAGGGTGAGGTCAAATATCTAGTCCTAACTTGTGGAATGAACAGAAGTGATACATGCCAATTCTGGGCCAAGGAAGGTAAGATGCAGGTGCCCTCTCACCCTTTCTTTCCCCTTCTGCCAGTGGATACAGAGAACTCTGTGGTCCTAGAATTGGCAGCCCAAGATGGAAGGGCCTTGAGTCCTCGAATTTCCAAGCTGAGAAATGCTGTCTGCCTACCAAAAACATCCACATTGAATTATTAAGTGAGTGAGAAATTTTCATTGTGTTGAGTCACTGGAATTTGGAAATTAAATTGTTATAGCACCTAAAGTTATTCTTACTATTAATAATAAAGTGGACATGGTAACATCTCTGCCTACTAACGCAGGAGACACAGGGGGGAAATGCTCCTGCTTCTCAAAGAACCACTGGAGGTCAAGCTGATCATGGTCACCTGCCCTTCCTTGGCAACATTTATGCACCCAGACGCATAGGGCCTTCGTTTCCTTCCCAAGCCCAGTCCTCCCTACCCGTGGCA